TTTGAGGCTAGCGGGTTTCCAGAAAGCTGTATTTGTGGAAAACCTCCACATATTGGGAATTGTAGCAACAGATCATAGCTACTGTGAAACTAGATTTGAAACATATTTACACTCAAATCCAATGTTTTTTGTAGGTGCAAACGCTGCAGTTTCACCCCTTTGAAACACAGACGCTGGTTTCTGGTTCCTATGACAAGTGAGGAAGTTTCTTTTCCCCATTACTTCACATGTAAAAGAGTTGCAGTGGGACTGTAAGGAGAATACAGAAATCCTAACTGGTAGATAATTCCTTCCTGCTTTAGTCTAGGTACTCTGTCACAAGGTTAATACTGTGGTGTCTAAACACTAATTCCTCTCAAGTAATAATTAATTTCGAGATGCATTGCTGAGTACACAATTGCTGGAGTTGTCCATCTGATTTCCTTGCCTTTGCATCTTCTGGAGCAGCTGTGAGCTGTTACTAATTATTCACTGGTACTTGAGGGCTCTTCTAGAAAGATGAAACCATTTTTAAAGATCTAGATGTTTTGTATTTGATGACTGAATGAATTTTAGTTCATTGTGTTATAGAAGCTTATATTAACCTTGAGTAAAATGATTATTTCAGATCAGCCATTTTATATGACTGCAGAAGTCCACAGAATAGCCGTAGAATCTGGCGGTTTAGTGGAGAAGTTGCAAGAGTGACTTGGAATCATTTTTCACCTTACCACTTTTTAGTAAGTTCTTGGGTTTTTTGATTTTTTTAATCGTGTGTGCTCCTGCTTGGGTTGTCTCTTCCATATATTGACTGTAATGAATCAGAATTCCCTATTTTGGGGACACATTAAAAGATTAATGGGTGGTGTAAGCAGAAACATTTGTATTTGCTCCCTTGGCACAATTGCTGTATTTCCTGTAGTACAATCAATTATAGTGTAAATTAGTCATGCAAGTCACAGTATGGGGGGCACTGCCTTTCCCTTGATGCTCCTCCCTGATTTGCATTTCCCCTTGACCCTGTGATGGGTGCCTGAGGCCCAAAGAGGGAGCAACTGTACCCCAAAGGGGTCCTCAGCTTGACTGTGTTTCCCACCACAGGCAGGTGGGAAATTACTAGGCTGTTATAAGTGAAGCACAGTTGCTTGAATGCTGTACAGAGGGTCAAATTACAAGTACAGCTTCTACAGCAGAGTAAGTCTAGTGTTGTGGTTAGAGTGTCCAATTAGGATCTGGGAGACCCAGGTTCGAATCCCCACATTGCCATAGAAGCTCACTTAGTTACCTTGAGACGAATCTATCTCATGGGGTTGTTGTGAGGATGAAATGGAGAAGTGAGCAATGTAAGCTGTTTCAGGTCACCACTGGGGGAAAAGGTGGGGTATAAATGATCAACATCATAAGGAAGACGGAAAGTTTCCCCCTCAAGCAGTAAACTTGGGCAAGCTAAAGATTTTTAAAGCACATTGTGCATTACAAGTGGTATGTTAAGGGCAAATAATAATAGATGTTTGCCATTTTCATGATGACCTGAAGCTTTTTTTAAAAAATGTGCTAGTGCCTTGATCAGCTGAGGGAATACACGGACAAAAATGGTGTATGGGAGAAGCCCCCAGCCTCACTCTTTCTAGCAGCCTCTTGCCCTCACCACAGATGCTGCTTTTTCCACATTTGGCAGCTTTGCCAGATAGCACTGTGCAGGGGAGGGCCCTGGATTCAACCTTGCCTAGTGCTTGTTAACCTTTGAAATGTTTCCTCTAGGCCAGTACAGAAGATGGATTTGTGTACTCCATAGATGCCCGTTCAGATAAACCAGTCTTCACACTGAAGGCTCATGAGGAGGAAGTTTCTGGTAAGCTTCGTGTCCTTTCTTATAAAAACTGGATCTTCTTACGTACAGTCTGTCCTGAAACTAGGGGATGCCAACCTTTCATTTGTGCTCCCTCCGGCATGCATGCCCCCAAGGCAAATGTTAATTTGCTTCTCTGTGTGAAAATAATTTGCCCTGCTTGTAATCCCAGCAGTGTGGTCACGTTAGCCTGTTGAAGCAAAACTGCTAAAGATCCTAACTATTAGTAGGGGTGTGACTAGTGGTGGTGAGCATGTCTTGGAGACGACCTCTCGTTGTAGTACTAAAGCTCAAATGTAAACTACTTAGGAATTCTCTCTAGTAATAATGTTACTCACTAGACATCTGTTTATGTTTTGCAGGACTACAGTTAAGCAGCCAAATCAAAGGATGTCTGGTGACTTCATCTTCTGACAAATACGTGAAAATTTGGGACATATTAGGAGACAAACCTGGTTTAGTTCATTCGAGGGACATGAAAATGGTATTTTGTAACTCTTTAAAAACAAACCTAATCAACAGACCATAAAATATCCCACAATTTAGTTTGTAATTTAACTTTCTCGTAACTTTATAGAATGAAAAGTGTTGAGGTGAGCATATGGGTCAACAGCAAAAACTATGGACAGTGTGTAGACTAAAATTTCGAAGGTTTCAAATTTCCACACAAAAATATCAGAACTCCAAAAGCTAACATTTGCAAAAATGATACCAACTACTGATATACTTTTGGATGGACTGGAATTTTGGTTGGACTGCACTTTGCCATCATATACAGGATCTCACATATACAAATTTTATGCAATATCAGCTGTTGGAGCTTTACAATATTCTGAGGGGGAAATGTGTAAAGGAAAAATACATATATAGCCCCTGCCTGTATTAAGCATACAGTATTTTTGCCACAGACATTGTTCATTCCAAATTTTAATAAAAGCACTAGATTTGACTCTGTTATGAGAGGCCATCACAGGTAGCCTGGCAGAAGATTGCAGAGGAATTTGACCTTTTACTTTCTTTTCCTTAGGGTATCCTGTTCTGTGCAGCATGTTGTCCAGATTTACCATTCGTCTATGCCTTTGGAGGAGAGAGACAAGGGCTACGTATCTGGGACATAAGCACCATTTCGGCAGGTGATACATCCTCATTCATTTCTTTTCCTAATGTAGTTTTGGGTTGGATCCAGCCAACTTTTTCACTCCAGTTCCCCTCCTTACTACACCCTCCTCCCGCATGGCTTCTATCCAGGTAGGTGGAGCCTCTTCCCGTTTTAAAAAGCAGAAAAGATTATACACGGTAAAAGTGATGTTTTTACCTTGTACTAAAACAGGAAGAGACTGTTGCATGTTGCTTAGAACCAGGAGCATGTAAGCACTCGCGTGAGCTCTAGGACACACAGAAGGATATTCCCATTCTTTCCCCAACTCTATCTCTTCCTTTGAAAATTCACTAAAATTAAGGAGATGGTACATGGTTTGTGTTGGGGATATGTGTGTTAAGTGCTGCTGTGCCTTGCACTCGTAATATAACTCACTGGGCTCCAGAATAGTTAAGCTCCTGCTCTCTCGCTCTCAAAAAGCAGTCTTTGTTAACTGAGGAATGGCTTGCAGAGCAGTAGCTGAGTGGTAGAATTTCTCTGCTTGTTCGGACTATGATACTTACTTGAACATTTATTTTCATTACAGTGAATGATGTTTTTGGAAGCAGACAGAGGCTTATAGTTGCGCAACCAAGCACAGATGCTAAGAATTCTGCACAGCAGCAATAACCCAGAAACCAAAACGGGAACCATGAGGCAACTTAACTCGTGTATGTGTACAGTCCAAGTGTAACATATGCAGAGCCATAAAAGATTGTACATACATTGACATGTCTTGATCCAAGTTGCTATACGCTTTCGCTGAGGAGCAGCAGGAAAAAGATAAGGATAGTTCATCCTCCTTAAGCCCATATGTCTGAGCAAGTAGATGGTAGCTATTTTCAAGCTCTTTCAGCCTAGTTTTTCCACTGTTCTGGAAACTTTCAGCAGGTGCCTTTTAGAATTCCAAAAGAGGTTGTGGAAAGCTAAAACATTGTAATTTCCAGAGGGACTTTAGTATCGATCAGAGTCTGATCCCTTATAGTGTGAAACCGCTCTAGGGGGACAACAGGTGCTGATGTACTAAATAATGGAGTACAATATGATTGGTATAAGTCAAACTTTGACCTAAACATGAGATCCAGCTAGTTTAAAGTATTACAGAAAAGAAGCTAAGGGATTTGATGCAGGCCCCACAATCATGGTAGTAAAGGTCAAGATTACAGGGTTGAGATAAGAAGACAGAAGCATCACAGATACCATGATGATATTTCATCAGCAGTCAGAGTCAGAAGTGTCTGCTTGTTCAGTTCTTTCTAGACAATGTACTTTTAAATGAAGATTGCTAATGAGCTGCGCTGACAGTAAGAGTTAGAGATGCTGTAACTGGCTTCCTGATCAGCCTGAACAATCTAGCGAAGGAGGAGGCCTGTACTTGATATATGACAAGGAGCAGGGCTTAATTTTCCCCTAAGGAGCCACTTAACATGAGATCTTTGTTCTATAAATATATTAGCAGCAGATTGCCTCTTCCTCACTAATGAGTTAACAAATACTGTTAACATTTTTAAGAGCAAGCCTTAGATATAATATGCTTCTCTGAGAATACCCCATCTGGAATCAGCACATTCTACTACTCTGGAAAGGTGTATGGATACAACTAGCTAACTTATGAACAATGAACATTGATTTTAGCAAGGCTCCACTGACCTAAAAATAAATTATACAGCGGGACCACTGGACCATTTTGATTATGGGACTTTAGAAGACACAAATCAAAGTCTTAATTGTATAAGAATAGTTGACAAATTCAGTATTCCGATTGGTTGTCCGATTAGGGCTGTTTTGCATCTGCCTGTTTCATTCTAAAAGTCATGCATGACACATCACCCAAGAGCACAAGTTTAAAATATATAGGCAGGATTATTCTCTCATTGGCTTAAACTTACAGAAAACGTCTCTTTGAAAAGTGCATTTCATTTCCGTTAAGAAGTGTGAGTGCTGTTCAGTCATCAAAATGTTCATTACAGAAGTGTTCATTTAATAGAAACATGATTTTAGGATAAAGAAACAGTCCCCAATTTACATTTTGAGATGGCCTCCATTTCTTACTCATGACAAGGGAGTGCATCATTTGTCACAAACACACTGCTGTTGAGCCTACAGTTCTCACTCCTCACAGAGTTTATCATCAATTCTTCCTCCTCCGAATCATCCTCTTCCTGGGCTGAGAGACTGGAAGTGGGTCCTTTGCAGATTTTTAGGTGGCGAGTTAGGTGATATTTTGTCAAATAAGCCTTGGAACATTTTTCACAGACATAGTCCCGCTTTCCTTCATGAGAGTTCAAGTGTTTTTTCAGGTGGTTTGTCCTTAAGAACAGCTTTTCACACTGGGGACACTTGATCTGACGTTCTCTAAATAAAAAGACAAAGCAGCATTTTGGAATGTGAGGCACTGAACTGAAGTACTTTGAAAGCAGAATGAATGGTAAGCAAGCTTGTTAAATATTCCAGCTTCAGGTATCCATTTAGCATGGAGAAATTAACACGTTTGTATGCACAAAACTTGGGCCCTGTACAAAATGGATAAAAGTGGCGTGGGCTGGTATTTAGGAATATGGCTAGGTTTCAGTGTAGAGGATTGATATAAGAACAATTGTTTATGTTTATGGCAACAAATTAAGCTAGACTTAACAAAAAGGGGAACTTCTTGTGAATTGGGAGGATAGCTACCTGAAAATGATAGTACTGTTCCTTTTTGAAATATGCAAAATCTATAACATCTGGTTTAACTTCGAAGGAGTTATATCGCATTGATATTTCAATATATAATTCTCAACAGAGCCAAATCTGTGGATACTTAAATACAGAGACTGGAGCCATCTTTCTGCAAACCTGAAAAATGCCCTGCTCTTCCAGAAGGAATCTGAAATTATGAAAAAAAATGGGGGGGATTAAAAAAACCCAAATGATAGAAGCAGCATCTAACTTTAAGAAATGAATGCCCACAGTGGGCAATGCCAGGCCAACCACACAGTAGTGCCAGCCTTCAAACCTTGGCTTCTGTTAGTAAAAGGTAGGGGGAGGACTACTAAGGAGGGCTCATCAGGCAGCAACCACTGGGCAACTTGCCTGATTCATCCATGACTGGCTGGCTGCTTGCAATCCTTCAACCAGTATGGTGTAGTGGTTAGAACAGGTGTCAAACATACGGCCCGCAGGCTGAATTAGGCCTGTATAGGGCTCTTATCTGACCTGCCAGCAACCTCCTTTCTCCCCTTCCTCCCTGCTGGTGCTGTGCTCCACAACCCCTGAGCTCCCAGCTCTATTCCTCCCTGATCTCAGCATCTCTGCTTCCTTTTATTCTTTCCAGTCGGTCACACCCAACTGTCTTCCTGGCCCAAGTTCCAACCCGAAGCACAGGTGGCTGATTGGGCAAATACTAGGAAGGGAGGAATCGAAGGGCGGGAGGAAGGATACAGCCCAGCCAATCCCCAAGCAGAAGGAGCTGTGGTGCTGGACAAGGAGTGGCTGAGGCACACATGGAGAGTCTGAGGCTGGTGGAGATTGCTCCAGAGATGGTGGTGGAGCGGTAGGCTGGGATCTACTTCAGCGCTGGTGGCATGCCTGCTTTGCAGGAATGGTTTGGGGGTCAATCTGGTGGGGTGAAGTGGTCAGGCGGTGGGGTGAAGTGGTCAGGCGGTGGGCCTTGGGGGCTGCTGAGGGGCATTTGGCTGCTGGGCAGGGGGTTTAGCGGCCTTGCCAGCTGTTGCCTTTCCACCTCCTTACCGCCACTTTTTGGTTGAGTCTCCCCAGGAAGGTTTTTGGTGGCCTCTGTGCTCCCACCGACCCCACTTACAGGGCTACTGGGGCGCGTTCGACTGCTGCTGCCCTGGGGTTTGGGTAACCTCCACAGCAGCCTTGCCAGCCATTACCTTCTCACCTCTCTACCCCCCTTCGGTTGGCGCTCTCCCTGCGGGTTCTTGGTGGCCTTGGCACTCCCACTCCCTCCACTCACAGGGCTGCTGAAGAGCATTCGGCTGCTGCTCCTGGCCTCAGGTTTGGGTGGCCCCCATCACAGCCTTGCTGACCATCGCCCTTTCACCTCCCCACCCCCCTTCGGTTAGCTCTCTCCAGTGGGCTTTGGCAGCGGTTGCTCTCCCACCCCCACCCCCGGGCTTGTGGGCCAGTGGCTTGTCCTGTCTGTTGCTTTGGGGACTGTTGGGGTGCTTGTGAGGCTGCAGCTTGAGGAGGGGCTTAGCCTGCTCCCCTGTGGTGGCCTGTAACAGCCGCTGCTGTGGCACACCATCACGCCTGCTGTAGAATAGGCAGTGGCTGCACATTTGCCTCTCGATCTGGGGAGAGGATGGCCCCGGTGGAGCCCACCTGAACTGTGCCTGTCATGATCTGGGCTGTGCCACTAGAGGCCTATGAGGCCCAGGGAGCCTGGCTAGCAGTAGGTGAGGCTGGGCCTACAACTCCCAGAAGCCCCTGAGAGATTTGGAGCCAAAATTGACCAATAGGAAAAGAGGAGGGCTAGGAATAAAAGATCTGGTGCAGCAGGAAAAGCTGTTCTTCTTCCCAGGGGACAGAGCCAGAAGGGACTGAGGCTGCTGTAGGGAAGAGACCCTCATCCTGGGGGAAGGGTGAGTAGTCTAGTGCCACTTGGAATAGTGAGCTAGGGACAGTATATATTTAGACGCGTTAGGGCATTTGATTTCTTTTCACCTACTTACTGTTATATTTCTGCACCTTGTTTGTTTGACCTCTTATAAAATAAACTATTTTTATTGTTCACTCTGCCTGGTCCTCACGCCTATTATTCGGCCAAAAGGGAGGTCTAAAGGCCTGGGAGGGTGCTCTGGGCCTTCTCAGAGGAGCCTGGAACCAGAGTGGTGGCAGCGTCAGGTGACACCCCACCTGAGCCATGACAGTGCCATACCAGACACACCTCCTTTGCTTGGCTCAGCCAGTTCCCTGCCGTGGGAGGGAAGAAGGCTGGCTGGATTGGCAGGCTCCTCCACGGACACCCCGGGAGTCTGCTCCAAGGTTGCCCTGGGCTGGATCTTGTTTCCCTTCCCAAGTGGCCAGCTTCCCCAACTGGAGCCTGCCTCCACCGGCTCTTTTATGGGTGCTCCAACTGGGGATGCCAACTTCATTGGGAATTTCCTGGCGATGGGGGGGGGGGGGTCTAATAAAAGGGAGACAAGGGAGTCTACTCTCCAAAGTAGCCGTTTCCTCCAGGGTGATGCTCTGTATTCTTGGGGCTTGGAGAGCAACAGTGGGAGAGCTTCTAGAATTCTGGCCCCACTGGTGGGCCTCCTGATGGCACCTGGGCTTTGTCCACTGTGTAACACAGTGTTGGACTGGATGGGCTATTGGCCTGACCCAACATGGCTTCCTTTATGTTCTTACCCAGTGTGCTGCAGCAATGAAAAAAGGGGAAACTCTTAAATTAGGGATGATTAGGAAAGGGACTGAGAATGAAACAGCTGATATTGTAATGTCCCTGTATAGATCTATGGGGTGGCCTCATTTGGAATACTGTGTAGACTCAGTGGAACTAATTGGCCACTGTGTGAGACAGAATGCTGGTCTAGATGGACCACTGTTCTGATCCTGCAGGGCTCTGCTTATGAGGAAACAGTGAGGAAGGGAACGTAAGTGAGAGCCCCCCCCCCCCCGGTAAGTTCTTGCAGGTCCCCCCACTTGTTACTTTATAATTCTTTCATCCTCACATTAATATCAGATGCTACTGTAAGTAAAAACATTTTGCCCTTCTTTCTCTGCTAAAAGTTTACATATAATCTTTCTGCAGTTTTTAAAAAGCACTACATTATCAGAGAGATGGAATGCATAACAGAGTATGCACTGCTGAATGACCCAAATTGTCTATTATTAGGACTCTTGCCAGATGACATACAGAGTCAGTCAACAGAGGCATGATACATGACCTTTATTCTACAGCAGAAATGTTCCTTGCACCAAACTGGAAAAGGGCAGAAAGCCTAAATATTAAGTGTTGGAGAAGCAAGGTTTGGGAACTTATCAAATTAGCCATGAACTGAATTGGTTAGGAGAAACTGGGCTAACTGAGCTTCTTGTTAAGAAAGATGGAAATCTTTTTTAACTTTTGGAATAAGGAAGTTACTTCTTAATCTTAACTAATCTGCTACCATTACATGATCAATATTAGACCAGCCTGAATCTCAGATAGTAATCACAAACCAACACACAAGGATACATGAACAAAAGAGGGTTTACATCCACACCCTACATACAATTCTCTTTCTGGTATTCTTGGCGTTGCTGTGTAATGTTTGGCTTGGGTTTGTTTAAAAGACCATTATGCCCTTAGAAATAAGCACTTCCCTACAGCCTGCAAAATGACAACAGCTTTCCATCTGGAAAGGCTAGTAAATTACCCACTTACTGTGTATGGGTGAGCACATGCTGCTTGAGATCCTGCCGTCGCATGAACAGTTTATCACAGTAATCACACTTCAGATTTTTCTCCCCAGTGTGAATAACCATGTGTGACTCCAAGTGGGCCTTCTGAGTAAATGACTTTTCACAAAGAGCACAGCGATAATTCTTCTGACCTAGAATTGGACACACACAAGTTGCTTTAAGACCTGTTTTTACTTTATGTTAACTTCTTGTAAATGTGGGTTGAAAAACCCAAAATATCAGCTTTGTACCATATGTGTATTTTAAAGCCCACTATCTCTAGAACTGCCCTGTGCCATTTATTTATTTTATTCAATTTATACCCCGCCCTCCCCATTACGCGGGCTCAGGGCGGCTTACAAGGGCATACGCCAATATAAAACATTTTAAAACCATTTTAAAACCATCACTATACAAATAAACATTACAACCAATTATTAACGAAGTGCTCTAGATGTTATTTCACAGATGGCGTGTTTCACTGCTCTATTGCTACTATTGCTAGTACTCTGTTCCTCAGTGTCATCTGCTCCAGGGAGACACAGATGGAACATAAATGATGGTGGTAGTGGCGGCTCCTACTCGTACGCCTGGTGGAAGAGCTCCGTCTTACAGGCCCTGCGGAACTGTACAAGGTCCCGCAGGCCCCGGATCTCCACCGGGAGCTCATTCCACCAGGTAGGAGCCGCCACCAAAAAGGCCCTGGCCCTAGTTGCGGCCAGCCTGGCCTCTCTGGGACCTGGGATTGCCAGGAGATGTTGTGTCCCAGACCGAAGTGCTCGTGGGGAAACATATGAGGAAAGGCGGTCCCTTAGGTAAGCTGGACCCAGACCATATAGGGCTTTAAAGGTAAGAACCAGCACTTTGAAGTGAATCTGGTACGCTATTGGCAGCCAGTGCAGCGCTTTCAGCACAGGCTGGATGTGGTCCCTACTATGAAGACCCATCAACAGCCTGGCCGCAGCATTCTGCACTAGCTGCAGCTTCCGGATTTGCGACAAAGGCGCATACTCCCATGCCTATGAAAAAGAACTTCAGCCTTTATCCTGTCAGTTCCTGGGGAACAGAATGTGTGTCATGGAGTTCACTTCACATTTTACTAGTGATCAGTGAGGCAGTGAACAATTCTGCTGTTGTACAAAGCCTCCCAAAAACTCTGCCCACAGAATGTGCTGTTCTTTTCCTCCTTAAGAAAGGCATATGTTGAACTTGCTCGGAGTCAAGAGCCTGAAAAATAGACATTGTATGTGCAGAGCATGAAAACTACATGTGGCCAGAGAGATCTGTGGGAAAAGAAGTGCTGTTTATCCTAGGAAATAAGTGAGCTTAACTACAGCTGGGAAGAATGCTGTGGGACACCGAGGACCTATGCAAGATCTTCAAGGATGACAGTAATGAACACACAGCTCTCCCCTGTTGTGCTCTTTCTGTTCTGCACAAATGACTTATTAAGCAAGGCTTTGGAGCACTCCATTTACAAACAAGCATTCGCTTCTCTAGTACAGATCTCAGCTACTGTTGAGCAGCTTTGTGGTTCTGATAGGAGCTACTTCTCTATAGATAAAATCCAAAGCACCTGGTAACAAAGAGAAGGGGAGCGGTTAAAAAAAAAGAAGAAGCTGGTTGACCATAAGGCTGAAATGAAAGCACCATGTGGCTGAATCATGCCACTGTAATACATAATATAGTTCATGGCCATTCAAGGAACAGTCACAGTTTGGTCTTCCAGTTTAGAAATCAACAAACTCGCTATTCCCGATCAGATTTGTTCTCTAGCTCATATGACCCTTTGGAAAGGGAACTTTTAAGGGTCACTCACCTGTATGTATTTTAAGGTGAGTTCGGAGATTACTGGGGTCACTGAATGCTTTGCTACAGAAATCGCACTTGTGTGGCTTCATGCCCATGTGCCCCATGAAGTGGACATGAAGCTTAGAAGGAGAAATGAAAGCTTGAGGACACATGGAGCATTTCCACTTCCTTTCCTTGCTGTGGCCTGGTCCCTGGCCGCTGGTATGTCCCTGACTGGCCAGGTGGCTGTGGATATGACTGGTCAGGTGAGCCTTGAACTCAGCGTAGGAAGCGCATTCTTTTCCACAGTGGCAAGTGTGTACATCAGGGTGCTCAGGAACACCTTTCAAGACAAAAGGAAACTAACATGTTCGACTCATTACAGCACTCAAGACAGTGGCTGCCTTACTTCCTGATAGTTCCACTTGCTAAGGAACTGAGCCTGCTTGCGGGGAGGGTGGGATACAAGTGTGATAAAATAAATAAATAAATAAATAAACATATTTCCTTCATTTGATTCAGTACAAAAAACCCCACAAAAAAACAGAGTTTGGCCTTATGAGTGTACAAATGCAATAGACACTTTTCATTCCACCTAAGTACTTCCAAACTATGAGGTGTTTTGGTCTTTGGTTCTTAATAAAGTATGTAGGTTATTGTTCAGCAACAAGTCGGAACCCAAAAGGTATCAAAGCAACCCTAGCCCCCGCCTGTTCCTTTGACGAGCCACATATTAATGTCCCTGAAATGGGATCATCATAGAGTATGGAACTTCATATGAAATAATGTGCAGGTCAGGAATTATTTGGTTTCTTCTGTTGACTAGGCTCAGATTTGGTCTTGATAGGTGATCTTGAGATCACAACTGAATTTCCCAGGCTGCGGGATAGTGCTTAGCGGGGTTTTTTAAAAAACATGACATTTGCTCACTTTCAGCAGCCCATATACGATACGAAAACAATGAGAATGAAAATCTCCAAGAACAACAAGCTGACAATATTAACACAGGACTAAACATTAGAACTTCAGCAGAGGAAAAACTGGGACTGAATCAATCTAGAGGATAAGATTCAAAGTTAGTCTGGCCAACTGCTTACCAATCTGTCGGGCGTAATCTCGACTGTAGTAAAAAAGGAGCTCATGGTCTGGAGGGATATCACGTGAGGTGCAGAAGTAAATTTTTCCGTCATGGGGGTAAGCCACCAGATTCTGCTCTTCCCGGTTCCTATTCCATGCAGGGAATACGTTCTAGTAAGATCTTATGTGATTAACTTTTAAACAATTTCATTTACACCAATATCCTCAGTATTCTTACTGCAAGCCAATTAAGAATCAAGTGACAGGTGCTACTTTTCTAGTGGAAAAGTGACATCCAGCCTCCTTTGGGCACAACAAAGAGGGAACTGTCAAAGCCAGAAAACTGCTACTGAGAGCCAGTTTGGTGTAGTGGTCAGGAGCGTAGACTCTAATCTGGGAGAACCGGGTTTGATTCCCCACTCCTCCACATGCAGCTGCTGGAGTGACCTTGGGTCAGTCACAAGTTCTCTCACCAGCAGTTCTTGAAAGCGCTTTCTCAGCCCCACCTACCTCACAGGGTGCCTGTTGTGGGAAGGGAAAGGAGATTGTAAGCCACTCTAAGACTCCTTCGGGTAGTGAAGGGCGGGGTATAAATCCAATCTCTTCTATTTACTGTTATGTCCAAAAACTGGTAATTTCATCTCCATCCACTAGGAGGCAACCAGTTCCTCAGAAGAAATATCTGGATGAAGGCAGGACCAGGAGGCATCTCCAGCTCCCTTTGAGCCTGACTTTGAGTTATGAATGTCTGAAGGTTCATATATCTATTTTGCTGTTTGAGTTTAGGCCAAGAATATCTTCTTATTTTTGCTGACCAGGCGGCAAGACCAGAGACAGAAAGAGCTATTTGGGAGCCAAGGATTTCTGGAGTGAGCTTTGCACTCTAGGATTACTTTTGTGACCTAAGTCCAACTTCAAGTAGAGTCCATCCAGGCCCCACTCCTGTACCCCCTTCCTCTCCACACTGCTTTCCCCTGAGTTGGAGATCTCCATTCCCACCCTGGTGATCAGTCTCCTTGGGGACTGTTCACATGTAAGATTCTGGCAAAAAGAGAGGCAGCCACATGTGTGTGTGTGTGGGGGGGTCCTTAAACCCAACAGGTGGTCTTTGTGGGTGTCAGTGCTGCCACAGTTCCTCTTGTGACTCATGGTGCTGCCATAACTCAGTTGCTGGCCACCCAGCTTGTCTGCCCATGTCTAGGTTTGCAACTGCACAGCTAAGCTGCTGGCACTCTGTTGGTTTTTCCAGAAGCTTGAAAGGAAAGCTGGTGGGTGACTTTGTTTTATCCCCTGAGACAAGACAGAGACCCTAATCAGTAGCCATCAGAGGACTATTAGCAAAGAGCAACAATGAGAGGAAACCTCACAACCAGGCCATGAATTTTACTATGAGTGTGCCCAAGAGCCACCCTGAGTGCTATAGATCAGAGACAACAAGCTGCAACCCAACCCCTCTCTCAATGGGGAAGGGAGTAATTGGGCAGAGGTCTAGAACAGGTCTCCCAAGGGACCACTGAAAATGGCTGGAGAGTTCCAGTCTGTTCCCTGAATTGGAGTTTCTATCTAGGATAGCAAAACCTCAGAAGAGTATGACAGATCAAGGCAAGACACAATGGCCGCTCTAAACAACATAATGTACAAGATGTAGTGTTTCCTACAGATTACAAAGACCTTGTGGTACCTAACAGTGATATATAAGGCAGCTGCGACTTTAGGTAGAGACTCTTTTTTGTGGCCTGTAGGAGATTTTAATTTGTTTGCTCTCTAGGCAATAATCCATCTTGAATGTTACAGAATCTTCCAAAACAGTAGTTTGCTGGTATCCAAGGCCTCCTTTGCCTGGCAGAAACAGCTGCACTGGGAGTAACTGTAAGCGATTGTTCATCAGTAATCGTCTGTCAAGACAGCAGCACTAATTCATCATCTATTTGATGTCCTGTGACTCATACCATTTTAGCTGTCTTGCACTACATTGGCAGGACTACAGCCTCCATGGTTAAGGTGAGGGGGAGCTAAAAAAAAATGCCTCCCCTCCAAGTTTGAAAGAAGCTGCGTATTTAGAAATGGATGGATGAGGTAGCAGTGGAGGCAAATGCTACCCGAAAGCAAGCAGTTCTGGAATGATTAGTGTAGTTATTCATAAATTTATTTCATTCATTAAAACATTTTTACTCCACCCTTGTATCATGTAAGACTCTGTGGAGCAGCTTACAAGCACTATTAACTGAAGCTCAATCTCAGCAAGACAGAGGTGTGACTGGTGCCCAAAAGAACTGGCCCAGGACTGGAGGTGTCTCTTGTTCTGGATGGAGTTGCACTCCCTCTAAAGGAGCAGGTTGGCAGTCGGAGGGTGCTGCTGGACCAGGGCCTCCTGTTGGATATACAGGGGCATGGTGACTGGTGGTACCTTCTAACAGCTGATGCGCCTACTGTAGCTTTTCTTGAGTAAGAAGGATCTTGCCATTGTGATACATGCCCTGGTAAAATCTAGTTTAGATTACTGCAAGGAGAATGCAGTCTGGAGCGGGTCATAGGGACTGTATCACACCAGTACTTTTCCATCTGTACTGCCTTCCAATCTGCTTTCAGGCCCAATTCAAGGTATTGGTTTTGACCTCTAAAGCCCCATGTTGCTTGTGAGTCGCATACCTGAATGACTGCCCACTCCCATGCAAACTTACCTGGCTGCTATGATCATATTCAGGGTGCTTACTTCAGAGCCTCTGTCATCTGAGGACAGATGGGTAGCATCCCAAGAAAGGCCCTTCTTGGTCACAGCACCAAAATTATGGAATTCCCTCCCCAGAGAGATTCATCTATCCCCCCTCACCAACAGGTGAAGACATTTCCGTTTCATCTGGTGTACTCTCCCCTTCTTGTTTGCTTTTAATCAGTAATTAATATAAATACACACACAAACACAAGTGGAGGACCCGCAAGCACTTGAGGGAGGAATAGCATTCCACCGCCATACACTATTTCCTCTATCCTTTCCATGAAAGCCCCCACAGCCATTTTTTTGAAATGGTATTTCAGTATCAGTATAAGTTTTATTCACGGTCATTGACCAGCACATAGTACACCGATGGCATATCTTGCAACATAAATGACACATATGACATTAAAATAGAAGCAGAATTTTAAAAGCAGGTTTTTTAAAAAGGGAAAATCTCTATAAAAACCATAATAATTAAAATTAAAAGTGAAATGGTATTTTGTTTTTGTTAGCCACTCATAAAGCTTTTGCTGAGAGGCAGGACAAAACAAACAAGACTTAACATCTTGCTTGACAAAATATGTGCAGCAGAGGCAACCTATGTATATATTTGTAAATGTCTACTCCATTCTCTAATCTACAAGGGCTCTTGTGGCATAATACGAGGTACAAAAAATGCTTACATTTACAAATACAAAAAAGGTACCCCCGTAAAATAACCAAGCAGAGGCCCATAAATTCAAATCCATCTTTAAACACCAACCATCCTGAATTCCTCCCCCAAACATCGTAAGTAAAATGGTCAGGTGGGCCTCTCTTGAGAAAGAATTCCAAAGTAAGAGCAGGCAAGAGGTTGCAAATAGTGTGTAGGCCTTCAAGCAGCCCCCAAAGCGCACCATCTCCTGAAGAGTCTAGACAAGGAGGATATATTCCTGCACATACTTTGGGATTCAAAGCACTTGAGGCTCTTAAGGATAAAACCAGAACTGCACTCATACATTTATTATCGAGTAATCAGTGCAGTCCCTTGAGAGTAAGCATGGTTAAAATATTAAGCTAACATCAGAATGACAGGCTTTCTTGATGCATGCCCAAGTTCAAATCACTAGACTCTAGAATAGTTAAAGAAACTGAATGTACTCTTTCATGTTAAGAAAAAAAAGAGAAGGTACTATTACAAGATTTTCAAGTCTTATATATATATTGTACAATCATTATTGCTCTGTTTGTCACTTCTCTTTCTCACCTGGCTTTTCGCACAAACATCATCCAGTTACATTCGTTCTCATCAGTTGTGATGATGTAGAACTCTAGAACGCTGTTGTGATATATCTGAACATGAAAAGGTAAGATAAACAGCTGGATCAGATGTTTCGAAATCTCCACACAGAACACCCAAGAAACCCCAGAGATGCAGCTGCTTGTAAGATTCTTAAGCGTCTATAGAGCCAGATAAAGCACAAATGTTGTATTGTAGGCTGCTATTTCTATTAAAGAATTGTTTCCTTGCTATAAAATGTGCCCCAACTCATCCCAGTTTCTGAGACACCCGCATCTGAATCCTCGCAAAGAGCTCTCTGACAGAGTTTCATTTTACAAGATTCTCAGGGGCGAAAGGATGCCAAGGGTAAAAGCTACATTAAATCCAGTTCTAAGGAGCAGAGCACATATGCCCCAAGGGATCATTCTTAAGAACTATGAATACAAAAAATGGGGATAAGCTGTCTAATACCTAAAGCATCGTTATTTATCATACCATTCAGGATACTGTCTCGTTATATCTAATACAGTACTGCATTTTTGTGTGTGGAAAGAGAAAAACCTACATTCAAGCCATTGTTTCTGCATAAAACAAAAACCATGTGGAAAGAACCTCAGACTGACCTTCCAAATGTGATTTGCTGCTTTATCTGTCCAATCAGCCACCTCCATGGAGTGACTCTGCTGCCCAATGAGTGGTCCGAAGCAAGTCCGCACAGGAAGGGTTTCCTGAGCCCACACACCTACCAACAGTATTAAGAAAAAGAATATTCCGCTGACTACATAGTCAAGAACTACAACTAGTGAAGACCAACCAAAAGAGATGTCGTATTTGCAGTACAGTCCTCTGACAGCTACTCCTAAGCATCAGGCCATGAAAGCTTATACAAATGGGATATTCACAAAAACAACTAACACATAACATTTTGGGGAACAAGCTCAAATGCAATCACTGTATCTACATTTTTCTTTTCCAATAGCAAGTCATTTACTTTCAGGTAAGCTGTGAAACTGAGGTCCTGACCTCCTGTGCTCATTAAAGATTGCATGGCATTTCCTGTAAAAATAGAAAAATTTTATTTCAAAAACTGCAGGAGCAGCAAGGGATTCAACAAGACTCCCAGCGTACCAATTTGCACAATTAAAATTCAACAACATAAATGACATTCATAAATTATGGCTCCCCCCAGATACTCTGAGTAACATCTCTAGCCAGCTTTCGTTTAGCTGCATTTCAGTTTCAGAGAACAATGGTTTGAGGCAGGGTTTTTCAAACTGTGTTCCAGCACATTTGAAGACCAGCAATGGCAGACAAGTAACACTGAAAGACAGCCTATCATTACCAAAGAAAGGATGGTGTATTTCAGATTCCATGGTTCACCACCTAAAATGCATGCCCTTCATGAACTTACAGTAAAATCTTCTGCAATGTGCCCAGTTTCAGCACTAGACATATGCAAGAATTCCACAGCAAATTAATCAATGTGGGAAAAGTTGTGTTAAGATGTGAAGTGAAGTTGTGTTAAGAATATAAAAACGAGGCCTAGAGATAGCTCTCCTCATTGATCTCTAAATAAGTTGTGAAGTTAAGTAAGTCAAGTTGTGTTAAGAATATCAAAACAAGGTCTAGAGATAGCTCTCCTCATTGATCTCTAAATAATTAGCACTGACACAAGGCAAAAATATCCTCCACTGATCTGTGGCCACCAAACAAAGACACTCTTGCACTGCATCCATAATACTCTGCCCAGACTAATCTTCCCATGTAGCATCCCTTTTTTGTTCTTACCAGATTTTATTTGATTGGGATTCTCACACACATACCCTCTTCATGAAAATCTATAGTTAACAAGATCCTTACCAGCTTCAGCTCCCATGATAGACTGCCGGATAACAAGCTGTTTCGGGACAGAAAGCCTGGCTCGGCTCTCTATTGGAGTGTCTGAAACAAAGGTCACAGGCCCATGATCTGGGCAATCTGATGGGTATGCTTTGTCACAGAGTGTGCACCCTGCAGATGAAAGGACACAAGTCATCAGAGAAACATTATTTTGAATTCCTGCAGAAGGAAAATATAAAAGTCAAAGCTGGATAGTTACAGCAAAGAGCTTACATTCACATAGCCCAGCATCCAAACCATTCCAGGAGCACAATCCCTTAACAGGGCTGTAAATCAGCAGCATAATCATGGTAACAGTCTGCTTGTCTGGGTAAGCTGACCTGTGCCACCACACCTTCAATACAATGCAACATCAGGGCTACTCTGTTGTGTTACTATTTGGTGGTGTTAGTGTAGCTGGAGCTCTGATCGGCCAGAACAACCCATAAGAGGCTCACAAAAGGGAGCAGGGTGCTTGCCTCCTACAAGTGCTGCCAGAGCTTATGGGGATCAAGGGAGGCATCCTCAACAACACAACAGTGCTAAGACTGGGTCCTAGTGCTGGTACAACAAATCCATTCACACTAGATTTCTTGCACTTGATCCTCTGAGCTCCCACAACGTTGCTGCTTTGTCGGTCAAAAGCATTTGTGCTACAAGGCAAAAAAAGACAAAATATTTGAAGATTAAGTCACTGATGAGTCACTGCCTAATATGCTGTGGGCAAGGAAAACATTCTGGCCATCTGAGATTTGAGAGTGGTGGTACGGAGCTTGTGGTCTATGCCACAGCCATTTCTGTCCCTCAAAGCATAATAGTAACCAGGGCATGACATTCATGTATTACAAGACCAGCGAGCATGATAAAAAATATTTCACACAGGAGCATCCAGACAACCAAGTATCGGTGATCAGATATTCAAAGTCACATAGGATATTGTGACACAAGAGATACTTAAAGTTCAAACACAACCAAACCACAGCCCACTCCAGAGAGACACTGCAGCAATTCAGGTATGTATTCTGTTCTCTCAACAGCCAATGCCATAGGAACAATCTCCTATTTCAGATTTGCTTTCTGATTGTCTTTGGCACACATCTAGCTGGTCCAAAAACAAGTCATGTAAATAGCCTTCTGTGCTATCCAGAACCCTTCATCAATCCGTACTTGAAAGTTTGCAAATTGTTTTGAGATTTTGACTAAATAAAAGCTATGACACAATTTTTTCCTGTGGACCAACACACCTGCTTACAATACTCGCCCACATCCTAATACCACAGTAGATATGTATTTGCAAAACTAAAACAGTACAAAAATACAGCTCTTAAGTGTCCACTCTGAATCACTAGGCAACACACTGGACAAGACAAAAGGTTACTAAATTAGTGTTTCCGGTACTGCAGGCTTGTAATAGCTATTCATCAGCTGCCTGAGATGATAAAAGTCACTTTCAAATCACCAGGCAATGAAGGTTTACAAAGTTTTGGTTGGCTACTGCATGAACAGGTAAACTTTTTTATAGGCTAGCAGCTGTTCACTGGGTGCAGTACTGAGATAAAGTATTTGATGACCTTCTGTTGTAGCTATCTTATTCCATTTTTTAAAACCTTGCTTATGCTATTACATTATTGTGAGTCACTATATAAACCATTTCATCACATGGCAGGATGTAAATCTTTTAAAATACATAACAGATGGAGAGATAGCAAGTGGAGCCCAATTTTCTATTCTTCGCCAACAGGGACAAAAGAAAACCTCAACTTTAACCATTCCTATTCTGTACAGGAAAGGGGGGGGAAATGACTGTGCTGGCAAAATTCAAGAGTTTGGTTTCTTCAGATGTATTGTACCGATAAGGTCTGAGGCAGTAGAACAAATTTAGAGTCCCGTGGCACCTTTAAGACCAACAAAGGTTTATTCGAGGTATGAGCTTTCGTGTGCATGCACTTTTGAAAAAGTGGTCTTAAAGGTGCTTAAAGGTCTTAAAGGTGCCACTGGACTCTAAATTTGTCGTATTATACAAAGTTTAGCTCCAATTTGCCCAGTTTCTTACATTTATGACGCACCATGGGTTTCTCCCACACAACCCAGAAGAAACGAACAATGGAGTGCTAAGCACAGTTACACCCTTCTAAGTCCACTGAAATCAATGGCTTAGAAAACTGTAATTCCACTTTGGAAAGCACTGTGAGATTATTGCAAGAATCCTCCTGCCTCCCCTGTCCAGTAGCTGCGATGTAAGTGCAACTCAGGGGTCAAGGCAAGAACACTGGCACACACTCACATATGGTAAACAAGGTAGCCATGTTTTCTTTGTTTGAATTTGAGTCTTCTATCTGCAGTGATGATGGTACAAAGGCAAGATTGTCAGGAGAGACATCCACATGGTCTTGACCCATGGCTACGTCCTGGCTTATGGAGGATACTGTCACGGGTTCCAAGCTCAGACCCACTTCATGTAAGGAGACAGATTCCAGGGATGTGAGGTTGTGTGAGGTAGAAAGTGCAACACTCACAGAATTGCTGCTCATGGCAACGGTATGAATAGAGTCACTGAGCGTTCTGTCAGATATTCCACTGACACGGCCTGCAATATGATCAGGCTCCATAACAACAGGAAGTTCCAAACTGCTACCATGAATGGGGATGACACCGTTGTGCCCCACAGCATCTGCAGCTAAGCTGCTGCCAACAGCGTCCACAGCTAAGGGCTCATGATTCCGGTTGCCAGTTGCAATCTGTGAATGATCCCCAGCTACATCACCTATTGTAAGTTCCTCAGCCATCCTGTCAGTAGAGATGGGACTAGTAACCCTTGAGACACTTTCCATGGTGATTGTTGTGTCCAGAACTACCTCATGGCTGTCGCTGGGATGCAAGCTCTGAGTGTTATGTGCATTCACCGAGCGGGAATCCATGGAGACAATGCCTGATTCAAGACCTACAGTTCCACTGGACTGGTAGGGATCCAAGCCAGAGGGGTTGGTGGAGACGGATAAAGCTGCATTGCTATCAACATTTATACTGTTGGGATGGATATACTGAGGTGGAGGTCTGTCAGCCAAGTAAGATAAAATACCTAAGGAAGAGAAGTAAAAGAAATGGGAAG